CTCTTGTTTTCTGTAATTTTCACCGATACGGAATACCACCTCCTCCTTCACATGCCCCTCCAAAATCGCCCACTTGAAACATTGCTGGTCTACATTTTGCGGGTTGATGGCACAGCGTTTCCTATCGATATATTCAGGTAACTGAATATATGACGAACCGCCCATCTATGTATATTTATATATGCCTAGCAATAACCCGTCGATGGACTGTAGTGTAAATCCACTTCCGCGTGATTTATATTCTTCTTCTTCCTTCAACAACTTTATAAAAGCCCTCTCTAAAATCTCTACAATATTACTTTCCGGGAAAATTTCTACCGCTGATGTTTTAAACGCTCAGTTCTCTGACGAATTAGGTACGTTTGGTCGATTATAGGTAGCCTGGAGTTTCAGATTGAATTTATTCGCCAGAGCCGTGAAGTTGGCATTACATTGATAGCAGAACTTTCCAAAATATGTCCAACAATGTTCAAATACACTTGTTGGACATTGTTGGAAACTTGTTGGAATTTGTTGGAACCCCCCACTTCAACCATCGCTCATTTCATTTTGTAATGCCAAATTCACACTTAGCATTATATGTATGTTGTAACCTTTCAAAAACCTTCCAACAATGTTCAAATACACTTATTGGACATTGTTGGAATTTGTTAGAACCCCAAACTTCAACCATCGCTCATTTCATTTTGTAATGCCAAGATCACACTTAGCATTACATGTATGTTGTAACCGTTCAAAAACCATCCAACAATGTTCAAATACACTTGTTGGACACTGTCGGAAACTTGTTGGAAATTGTTTTAGCCCCCCTTCTTAACCATTCCAAATTTTTTTTGTAATGCTACATTGTTGGAATTTGGCGTTTGTTGGTGTCCTCTTTTAATTTACTCCAAGTTAAACGATGTACTACAAAATTCACACAAGGCATTAATATATTATTCAAATCGTTCCAACAACGTTTAAATACACTTGTGAACTTTGTTGAATATTAATTTGACATTTTTAATAAGTCTATATTATACTATTACATATTATCCGTTACATATATTACGTATACATAATTCTATATCATTATTATAATAAACTAGCTGATCCCGTGCACTTCGTTTCCCGTTAAATATACCAACTCTATATGACTCAAACATTGTTCAATGCGTTATTTAATAATCGGTGTATGATGTTCTAGATTTATCTTAACTTTTCTGTTGCCCGGAATAAAAATTCTGAATTGCAGCAGTACATTATCAGATAGGTAATTTACCTGCGGTAGATCGCGGACCCCGTGCTGTTTGTACGTAAGTGTATGATTTAACTCAAAAAGTACCAAAGTTATACCAAGTTTGACGTTTTTACTTAATTCCACCTACCTATAAATCCTAACCTAACATAACCGTACTAAAATCCGATGAATAAAAAACCAAATTTAACCCTTTTTAAATCAGCGTATCTTCTTCCCATAGGTCTAATCTACACACCGTCATTCATTTATATATAAGATATATTTACAAAAAATAATAATACAAATCAACAAACATGCCCGATTAACCAATAGCAACCAATATAATATAATACACCATAGAGTAAATAAAGACAACGGTATCGAGTTCAAATCCCAGACATCAATAAATAGTTTTTGCAGTTTTTCTTATTATTCGGTTGACTTTTTAAAAATTTTCTTTCGTAAAAACCTTCACTTGGCAATTACGAACATCTTAAAAAAAATTTGAGCAAAATCGGCCCAGCCGTTCTCAACTGATGCAAGTTCGAATTTTTTGTCTCCATTTTTATATATATAGATAACCAAATCAAAAATGATATCATCAAAGTATTAATTAATTATTATTAGTTGCTTAATTAGTACTTTCTCCTTTACTCTTTTATTCTAAAAAGTATGAACACATATCCTAAACATATAGTTGGATTATCAGCAGTTTGAATCCCATATGTTGTTTTTACAATGTTTCTGCAGTATAATATGGCCTATATATTTTACTATAAATTATAATTGAGGTTCAATTGTTCTTTAAAAAAATAAATAAATAAAACTGTATGGAGAATAGTAAACTTATATTTATAGACAACATTTTATAAGTAATATAATATAATATAATTAACTCATTTGATTTGTCCATATTAATTATAAATATACAGATAACCTTTTCTTTTTAAATAGTTATTAATAAAAAAAATCATATAAAATACACTTGACATGTAAAAAGAATACAAATAGAAAAATTATAAAAAATAAAATGAAATAAAAATCATAATTTTGTGTTTAAAATAGTATGTGGTTTAACTATTTTGGATTCACTGCAACGTTTTATCTTGAGGGCAAGATCATCATGTTCTTCCCAAAAACCATGTAATCTTCTACAGTATGCAATGTAGTGACCCAAACTATCTTCGTTTCCTCCAATATAACCAATTATACTGCTACTAACTTGTACCTATTAATTATTAATAATATTTTAGTTTTAGACACAAAATATAGTTTTTTTTTTATCTTAGGTATAATTTATAAACTTACTTTTTATCATTTATCATAATTTGATGTGGAATATCATTCAATGTACAAGTTAAATCTTCTTCATTTTTTCGATTATTAAAAATTGCATCAAACCAGGCATGTTGTCCAAGTACTTTTGTTACCGTTATTGTGCCATTGCAATTACTTCTGTAACATTTTCATGTTTACGATGCTAATGGATCTGGATTCATGTTATTGATCGCATTTTGTAGATTTGTGAAGCTTCCTGTAAAATATAATACATCAAATTATTTACTATAAATATTTATATTATAATTAATTTTTACACATCATTAACCAACTCCATTAAATTGATTGGAAAAAATATTCTTGGAATGACTGTTTGTTTTCCATCTATATTGCAAGTATTATATTCCCAAATAGTAGGTTCGTCTTTTAACAAAAGTTCTAATAAATGATTTACATTATAACGGCAATCTAATTCGGTTTCCTTTTATCTATTACCGTTGAATTTAAATCTGAAAAATATCCCTCGATTCTTGCAGATGAGCCAATTTTATTTGGGCTGGAAAAGTAGTCTACCATTACCCCAGACCATAATGGAAATTCATTACAAATTCTTAGTAATGGCTTAACTAAGTCAGGACAGTGATATGCATTTAACCTATTGCCTGAAATTAGTGCTTTTTCTGATGAAATTTGTTTTAAATTTTTAATCTATTCTATAATAGTGAGTATTTGATCAATATTATCTTCTATTTGAGTTTCTGGATCACAGAAAAACACTTCATTATTGGATATGCCTTTATAGTCTTCTTCAGAAATATCAAAATTATCTGAAATATCTGATATTAAGTTTTCCAAATATATTCTAGCTTCTTCAGCTGGAACATTGTTTTTAAATTCAGAATATCCATCATATTCAGCCATTGATAAGATGAGTATATTTTAATACATTTTCAAAATAATTGAGGCTATTGGCTTGAATTAATAAGCCAATTGATCTAACATAAAAATCTTTGATTAGTTTTCGACCTTGGAGACATTTCTATCTGCAAATTATATGCACCATATGAGCCACATCAATACGTATAAAGCAAGAAACTGTTGTTGGTACTGAATATTTATTAACAATTCTAAAACAAGTTTCAGAATATTCATGCAATGACTTACCATTGCAAAATGCTCGAGTAATAGCTCCCAAAAGCGCTTTTGAGTAGTCACTAATACATTCATCAGGATATTTCATTCCTGACGATACCCAATTCGCTAACCAATAGTAAATAGATAATGTGTCTTGTTTCTCCGATAATTGATGTGCTATTGGAACAGTTTGTCCTCCATATTTATGACTATTTGGTACAAGAATATATGTCCTGATGATAACATATTACTCGTTCTTTTTAACGGTAAAATCAGTGATCCTGTAGCATCGATAGAAGCAGTTACCCATTAATTTCTCCTTATCTCTTTATATAAATGTCACTGAATTGGGGTCCAGTAATCGACGAAAAACTTATCACAACTTATTGTATGAATACTGTTGCTATGCTCAGCTCCTCCATGCTTCAATTCTATTAATGATTCGATAGGACTATATTTTGAAATACCTAAGTCCATGTCCACAACATTTTGTTTTGCTTTTCTTAATACACTTTTTAAACAAAGTCGGTGATTTTTTATCTCCATATTCCATGGTTTTATTGGCATATTTTCGTCTCCAATAAGTAGCTCCAATTTTGTCCACTTCTTCCCCAACAATCTGCCTTTTTTTTAAATGCAAAAATCGTTTTTTATCATCGGAATGTTCAACATTTGTGGTGTCTGTAGCGTAAAAATTAATAATATTTGTTACTACCAATTCTAAATATAATGCACTGTGAAAAAAATCAAAATTTAGATTTATATTCAAATAAAAATGCTAGTTAAATTAAATTTGTATGTACACGGCCAAATGTGGCCTAGCGTTTAAGCATTTTGTTGTAGATATATTAATTTTCTTTTGCAGATCATTATGCGTTTCCCAGCGGTTATCTGATCTCCGTATATATGTTATGTAGTGTACCGAATGATACTCAATCACACCATACAACGCATATCTGAAAAATTTAATTTGTGCCTATACTATAATGTAATTTAACTTAAAAAAGTTAATAGTTTTTGAATATTTCTATAATATTCAAAACATATGACAATAATTTCATATTTATTTGATTTTAATTTTAAACTGTTAATATTGGAAACTATAAATTTTTTTAACATAAATTTGAAGCAAATAGAGTTAGTAACTTATATAATATTTAGAAGAAAGAATATTATATTATTGTGGTAATGTGGTAATAAATTAGAATAATATTAGATATTATTATAAATAGAATTAAAAATTGTACACATACTTGACATTTTCGGCTTCTAATTGAGTTGGAAACATCGAAAGTGCAATACTTTGATTTTCAGGCAAAGTATCTGTCTCAATCAAAAGGTGGTTCATTACAGTTCATCTTGAAGTTAATCACTTATAACAATAACCACATTCATAAACCTGTTCCTTTGTGTAATTATCCAATGATTTTTGAAGATTCTTAACGTCTTTAAATCTTAAAATTAACGTTGCGCTTTCAATATCTCTGTTATTATTGTTACAACCATCTGTCGTGCACAGTATTTTTTCGATTGCGGATGGAGCGTTTACCAATAATTTCGTTGCAATGAACGCTACATTACACTGAGCATCAATCACTTTGATAAGAGAAATATCATCAGAGCTCTTAAAAATCAGCTTTAATAATTCGAGTCGATCTGTGTATGTTTTTTTGGTTGGTCCATATAATGCAAGACTTTTGCAAAACCTCAACATGTTGTTTTCACTAGAGTCTACAAAAGCCGTATAGGTTTTAAAGTCTGTTTATGCCATATTTATTATTACTGCTAATGCATCAAACGGGCACGTGTTCATAAAAATATATCTTTGTTTGGCTACGTGCAATGGTGTTGCTATATTTCCATTGATAAGCAAGGTGTTCAAGTTCGACCGGGTGTTTTTTTTTTGCAATATTCTGTCGATTTCAGGAGTTTTTTCCATGTACGTTGTATTCCTTTTTCTTTTATATTTATTTTCACAGCCTTTGGGAAAAACTGGAATATTAGGCTTTCCTAAGCCACCCAAATTTTCAAATTCATCAAGTGATTTTTCAGAAGTTGAATCATCGCTGGAATTTAATTTAGTCAGTGGTTCAATTCCTTCTAAATGCATGTACGATTCATTTGGTGAAATGGACCCTAATCTTTTGATGTCCAACGAATCAAAGCTAACATTTAGTATTGATTTTTCCTTTTGGATTGATTCAATACTTATTTCCTCCGACACAGGAATTAGTGTATTCGTTTTTGTTGAAGATGGCTCTATCGTCTCTGAATTTGAAATTATATAGTCTGATTCAACATCCACCTTCATAACAGATTTCTTATTCATTTCTATGTGATTATTTCTTAGCTGGCTCCTTCGAAATAAAATTGAGCTGCCTTCGATTGATTTTAGATGTTTGGCAACAAACCGATCAGCAGTCATTGGTTTCATTTCGAAACGGAGGATACGTGATTTCAAATCGGAGAAATCACTCTCCACTGATGCTGAAGATGCAATCACATATGGAGTTTGAAATTTGTCATTTATAACTCAAGTCCAGATCGGAAAATGCTTGCATAAACGTAAAATTGTTTTATATAAGTTTGGAATAAAGTATGCAGAATCGCGATTTCCTTTTATTTTTGATTGCGTAATGGAAAACTGTTCAATATCTTCCAAATATTCTTTAATTCCATCAATAGGTTCCACGCAATCATATTTTTCTCCATCTAAAACACTTTCTTCTACTTCAGAATCAATATCGGTCATATCTTCATGATTTATATCAATTCCTTTTATTTTGTAAAATAGCATTTTTTTTGCAGACTCCGCTGTTGTTAGCTCATGGTCGAGCGCTAATGCAGTAAATAGTGACGCAATATTATATTGATGTAGCTAGGGCCGGATCGGTATGTATCGGCCCATCGTGATTTTCCCTTCCAAATACTTTAGTGCTTTATCATGGTTTACCATATTGTATATCATTAATGTTTCTTAAAAATCAATTGCAATATTATGGGACATAATGCATATTTCATATGCATCTTCTACCCTTACATAGGTCATCTTTTGAACATCTTTCTACCTCATTAAAATGTGTGGTAAACTTTCAAAACTCTTTTCTTTAGGTAACTTTCTCGGGAATTACCCGGAACTAAATCCGTTTTTCCAGTCTTCCGCATCTGGAATCCATTCATGCCTGGGCAATGCATATCCATCCACATTAAAAATTAATTCTCCGAGTATCGTAAATGTTTATAATTCCTGCCAACTGTGATTGGGTTATCACTCATCAATTTTAGGCCTCAATGATAGCTAGCTGATATGGTTTGTGAATGCGTGTGGTGAACATATTTTGAAGTGTTCATTATAATATTATATGATAAACTCATAGAATAAATTTTTTTTTATTTTAAAAATTATGATTAATTCTGATAAAATTTCAATACTTTAATGATACTATTTGAATATTTAAGTTTCTGTTTAATTCAACAATTGTAAATTATCTTATTTCCATATGATGAATTATGAACTTGCAAAATGTTAAGTATAATTTTAAACATACCTAGGTATTACCTATAACATTTTTGTTGATACGTATGTTATGATCTATATCAAAGTTGAATTTATATTAATCTAATTATTGAGACCTATAATGACATTGAAATGCGATGTGTTACATATATACTAGTTTAAAAAACGGACTTTACATGATAATTAATATATTTAGAAAAAAAAAATGTAACCACACACACTAATAACCAGTGTTGTTGAAGCATTTTCTGGATCAATAAAAAACAATTTATACTTGGTAAAGTTACCATTTAAAATATAAATAAATATATAAAATCATTAAATATTTAAATGATGAAATTACATTTTATCTATATCATATTAATACTTGTAATTAGTACCTACACCAAAGTTGACTTATGCAGTATACCTCTGTATAGAATATCGCCAAAAGTTATCATTCATCATTATTGCAATTGCCGCATATACTACAAGACACAATGTGCTATTGGGGCTGTCTCTGGTCGTGTGTGAAACATGATCGCCTTCATATCCAAGAGACCAGGGTCGTTGTGTCTGCATTCTACATTTAACGCTTACTAAAATAAACGAATTAGCCCCTGGCGCGGCCGAAATGCTTGCAAGCTAATTATTCTATTTTAGTAGCACTAATGTCTCCAGAAATTGGATTTAACCGATGAAAGTTGTATAATGAGAATATGGTATTTAAGAATGGTGGTTTTAATCAAACAAAAAAGTCAAAAATATAGGCAAAGCCTATAACCCTCACAAACGACTAGATAGTAGGTACTAACTAGGTATACTGGGTATATTATAGTAAATTACTCAAAATACTTTACAACTTCATATATATAATTGATAACAAAAATTCAAAAACATAGTATAAATGTAACGATCTGATTTCAAAATAAAAAAAAAATATATATTAGTTCATGACGTGATTATGTCTTATAACTTAATTTCAATATGCACTAAAACATGATTTAGAACCTCATCTATATTTTTAATAAGATAGTTAATATTTTTGAATAATTTAAAGAAATTTTAATATTGAAACAATAGTTAATATTTAACGTATCACATACATTGTATATTCTATATAATATGTAAACAATTATTATAAAAAAAAAAAAATGAATATTAATATGAATCCCATGCATTCACAATTTATCGTTTCATTATCAAATAATTTATGTATTGCAATATTTTACAACCCTATATGAAAATTTGGGTAGCGTTCGACCAGTAATATAATGTTAATGATCAATATTAAGTGAAATTGTAATAAGCACTCTGAGCCAATGAGACGCTGTTAAAATTAGAAAAAAACCACTTGATTATAATAAACTATGATACTTAAATTACATATGGATCTACTATGAATAGCTAACGTCATTTTCATGGATTTTCTCGAGCGGCTTGGTTAACATACCTTCCGTGTCACCATCTGGTGCGGAGTAGAATATTCTTACTATTGATTCGTTAAAATTGTGGACTATTTCTAATCCGACCAGAATGGGGCATGGTCGGTCTTTATTGTTTCGATGTTCCGTTTCTTCGGTTCAGTTCTTGTAATTTATATATATTCACAATAACATAAAAACATATTTGAAGTATTGGAATACATTAAATTCAGGGATCGTTATGTGTATATTCTGGATGAATTGTTCTAAAGTGCTATATTTTTCTAACAACATATAAATACAAAAATGAATAAATTACAATTAAAAGCTAAATGCCACTCAAATAAAACAAGTATAGCATTTATATACTTATTATTATTTCAAAGCACAACAGACTGTCAGAGACGAATCCATCATCGGAACCTATATGACAAAGATATGCATAATTTATAATATGATAATTATATGCTCAATTAAATCAAAATGAACCTTATTTTCTTCATCAACTACACGTAGCGGGTATACCTTATACCTAGGTACTTTAGGTTTTTGGAACTTTTTGTCAAGACCGTACACATTAATAGATACATTTCTATTATTTTTCTCAAATTTAGCGATGTCTGATAGAGGTGTGGGAAATGTGATGCCTTCAAACTTGTACTTATCCTCGTGTTTTCTGTAATTTCCACCGATACGGCATACCACCTGCCCCGTAACATGCCTCGCCAAAATCGCAAACTTGACACATTGCTGGTCTATACATATATTGTGGGTTTATGGTGGCCCGTTTCCTATTGATATATTCAGGTAACTGAATATATGACGAACAGCTCATCGGTGTATATTTATATACCGCTAACAATAAACCATCTATCGTCTCCAGTGTAAATCCACTTACACGTGGCTTTTTTTTTTTCATGTTCATAATCAGAAACAGTATTTGACTCACATAATACTGATCAACGAGCATTTAAAACGTTAAAATATTTTTTTATATTCATTCCTGATAATATGTTTATTCATTTTATACAACTTTTCTTTAAGAATCGGTTGACATCTAAAGCTTGAAAATTGTATTATTTAGGCCTTGGTTTTTACCTGGTACTTTATCTTCTTGTATATGGCTGCGTTGCTATCATTATGTAGCAAGCAACAACATTTTTACTTTGAGTATATTGAGAACCTAAATTTTAGAGTACATAAGAATACATAATATAAGAACTCTGATTACATAGTTAATATTTATTTAATTAACAAGACATTTTATATACTAAACTATGTATGAATACTTAATACAGAAATGCATAATATTATCATATATGATATATTTGGTAAAAAATTAGTTTTTATTATAATTTTATTTAGGTACAGTCAAAATGCTTCCCTTCCATGGTATTAGTTTCATCTTTCTTGGAAAAGATGTCGAGAGAAGCTTTGTTGACAAATGATTAAATGTTTATATCTGTGTCTAAAATATGATTTAGCTTGAATCGCATAATCTGATTTGTCACTGTTTAAAATTATATTTACCTATTATTATTCAGTCAAAGTGTTCGTTTTCGACGGCCTCACTGCCCATCGCCACATCCCAAGGACGTCCGTTCGCCTGCATATACTCTAGACATTTTAGGTTTCCTTTCTTTTCCACATTGGCACACGTTTATACAGACCATGGGTATCTACGTTCGTGGAGGTATTTCAAAGCAACCGATATAGTTTATTTATTTTTAGATCGTATCTGATAAAATATTATGTACATCGACGCAAGGATTACTGCTAATAATATAAGAATAACGTCATTGTAACTTGTTACTTTTGAGTAAAAAATGTAACGTTACGCATTACTTTTGTACTTGAGTAACTAACAAGTAATCTAGTTCTTCTTCTTCTTCTTCTGGCCTTCATAACTCTAAAAGAGTTTTTTTCCGCCATCACTAAATCATCCCACTTATCTCAATACTGTACTATCTCCCTCCAGTTCTGTGCTCCAAGGTTCTCCAAATCTTTTTCCACGACATCTATCCATCTTTTCCGAGGACGATCCCGTGGCCTTCTTCCTTCCGGCTTCCAATTTAATGCTACCTTTGTTAATGCATCTGTGTTACACCGCATAACATGTCCTAGCCATTTTATCCTTTGACTCTTTATGAATCCATTAACTGTAACTATATTTAATTCTTCCTTTAATTCTTGATTGAACTATCTGCGCTATAGGCCGGTCCTCGGATCCCTGATTGGGCCACATATTCTTCTCCATATCTTATTTTCAAAAGTCCTCAGTCTTCGTTGTGTTACACTTGTAGTGGTCCATACTTCACACCCATATGTTAGTATCGGTCTTATTATTGATGTATAAAGTCTTGTCTTTGTTCGTTTGGAGAATAGTTGAGACTTAAAAACTTTAGGAAGGTAAAAAACGCCCAGTTTGGTTAGCTTTATTAATCTAGTTACCTATTTTATTTTGTAACTAGTAACTTACCCAACACTGCCACATTGGCCCACGTTTCTAGAGAACATGGTATCCAGGTTCGTGGAGGTATATATGTTCCCTATATTTGGTTTAAATTTCTGTCATGGGAGCGCCACCGTATTCTTATTTTATATTATAAGACTACTCTATGTGGGCCTATTTACGGTAGTAATTTTGAATGAAACTACCTATTATCTCTATTTTTTTATATTTCCTTCTTCCAAATATGTTTTATACTATACACAATAGTGTTTTTTTTAAATCATTTGAATTTGAATTTTTATCAAACCTGTATTACTATATGTTTTTTATCTACAACGAAGACTAGTCAATATTTTGTTTTTTTACGCTCGTTACCGTGGTTTTCCAAGCTATCTAACGACAAAAAGAAACACCATCGTATAGTTCCGTTGACCGTCATTTAGTTTACCGTCACGTGATTATGACTGCCTTTAAGTTAACTACTTTGTGTTATCCATCACGAACAAAATAATACATAGTTGAAGAAAATATTCACTAACGAAACCCACAGCTCAGAGGATGTGGTTGTGAAGACTTTCTATCAGCATATCGTAGTGCGCCAGTCGACCATATGTCCAAGTTCTACGACCGGTTTTCGGTATTCGTTGAGGTGACTGGGAACGGCCGGTGGACGGAGCCGGCAACGAGCGCACACAAGATCGCTGACCGGCTGGCCTCGCTGAACGTTTCGGGTGGTTGCGCGTGGCCGGTCGTGACGTGTCAATGGACACGCTTCGACGGGCTGATCGTTGTACTTGCTGCCGAGGACGGGTACCAGTGACAGATACTAATCGTCCATTATCGGGGTGCTGACTGCCGGGCAGTCGTCTCCAACCACTTTTATCTGACCACCACGGCTTACGCCGATCATGAGGGCGACGACGAACAGAACGGCGACTGGGTTGCTGCATCATTCCACACCCGTTTTGATGGCTGGGCCGGCCGGCAGAACCGCGGTTCACTGGTCCGTTTTCAGACAGCTCTGTGTACCGGCTTAACAGTGGTCCGCGACTATTACACCACCCTGCCTGGACATCCGGTCGACCGGGCTGACTGCCAACAGTATGACCGCGCCTCTCGGTTTTCGTACACCAGGGCGTACGGTGGTGGAGGTGGACGCGTGTACACAGGTCCCCGGGCAATTCACAAGCAATACAGCCGGCCGGCCATGGACAACCGTTGCGTGAAGCTGCGTGCCGTGGAGACTTGTTGGTCTGGGCACAGTGGCAGCATTCCTAGTACGACGGTTGCGCTGATTGTAGGTGTAGTGCCAAAGGTGGAGCGGCCGGGGCGGGCGTTGGTGTACCGCGAGTTTGTCCAGCTCTTCATCATCGACGTGCACACGCGAAAGATCCTCAACGACGTGCTGTGCTTCGAAACTAACTGACACGTGTCCAATTCGTTGTCGTCCAGAATCAGTGTGTCGTCACCGTCGTCGTGTCGTCGTCGTCGTCATCGGTGTCGTCGGATGCAACGTCTTCTATGTAATCCACGTCGTCTACACCGTCATTGCTGTCGTCCATGTCGTCCACATCACCATCACAACTGCCGCTACTTCCGTTATCGTACCCCGATTCCACGTCGTCAAATCCAATGTTTTCGTTAATTTATTCATTTTCGAGGTTGCAGTCGCTCTCACCGTCGTCCAATAAAATGCATGGCAACTGGCCGACCATATCCACTGGTGTTTCAAATGAAAATGGTGATCACGGACTCGATTCGAGCGAGTTGGCTGCTCTCCGGTCACGTTTCACAACCAACACTCTGGGCATTCGGTTCGCAGCAATATACTCTCCTTATGCCATCGGCGGCGGTTCTAATGGTGGTAGTGGAAAGCAGCAACAAAGCGTCACTTCCAGCAAGCTCAACCCCCGTCAGTTATTTATCGGATGTGTGCCGTTACACGTCAAGTACGGGCAACTCAAGTTACTGTTTGAGCAGTTTGGCGAAGTCACATACGTAAAGGTATACGAGGGCTACAACAAGCATACTATCTCCAAGATGTTGCACAATTATGCGTTTCTTTTTTTTAAAGACGAAAAATCCGTGGAAAAGGATATTGCCGCGTCACCAATACCAATCGATTCAAATTGGAATCTCAACGTGTCCCGGCCACACCACCACACAACGACAGTCGATGCATGTGACAGGTGACCTCCGAACCGTCTGCCGTCGCCACTGAAACGATATTATAACATTCCTAACCTCTGTAGAGGTTATTCATTAATTTTATGTTTATATCCTAATGTTTATAATTGCCACGTGTTCACTTCATTTAAGAATATTAAATTCTTTAACTGTTATAAAAACGCTTGATTAATTTTTCTAATGTCTGAATTCTGATATTATTAAGCTACTCGTGTTTTCAATATACAACACCTAAAAATTAATTTAGGGTGTGGCATAATGAACAAACAAGACATTGGTCCTTTAGGTGGTAGACTTAAAAGAAACATTGGTCTATTACAGCAAATGATTTTGTTTATTTTCAATACAGATAGTAATGCAATTGTTCTTTTTTTATTTCTTACATATATTTAAAAATAATGACCATTTCAAATTAAATTTTAACATTTGTGATTGATTGTTATAATACTTAAATTAAATTTAAAAAATACAGATCTGAAATTGAAATGGTAATTTTTTTACGTATTTGTAAATTGTCAATATATGACAACATATAATATGTAAAATATTTTTATATAAAAGTAAACATCATTGACAATTGATAACTAGTGTGTTTTATATTAATTTTTGATGTGAAAACATCTTATGTAGCTTTCGGACTTTTCCGTTTGTTCAGTGAAATTTTTCGAGAGTTATTCGAGTAACGTTATCGCTGCTGACGTGCTGATGGGTGGATGTTTTCAATCTTATAGGGCGTTCAGATCTTTCCGCTTGCCAGTGGACATTTTCGAGTTTTACCTTTTTCGAATTTTCTGTGGAGGTAGTATTTCCGGACATATGATTTTTTCCAAATTTTTCGAAAAACCCCGAAATTTCATTCGTTTTGGTTTTTAACGGTTTTTTGACTACTTATCTTGTACACAGACACAAAAAAATAATTAATTAGAAATATATTTCACAAAATTCAAAATTAGATTTTCAATCAAACACAATGTTTTAAAAAAATAAAACATAATGTTTAAAACAGTGTAAAATCCATGTGAGTATTGTGTTTTTTTTTTGGTTTATTATTAATAAATAATAATAAATAATAAACGTTCTCCTTCATAAGAAAAGTTAAAGTATTGATAGTCGAAATAATGGTTTGATTTTCAACTTCAGTAGTATCTTTTTCGATGGTAAAGTGAATCTATAGTTGTTGCACTGATCAAAATCCCATTTTCCTATTAGTGTCCAAAAGCACTGATAAAACAGAAATAAAATTAAGGAAAACCAGGAATGTTTTTACTAATAATAGGCTTTCGACAAAATCAACAAAAAAGATTTTGATTTTTAATGTAACTATAAAAGAAATGACCGTAGATACTTGAAATTTTCCCTGGTTGTTTATAATAGCGTTTATATCTCTATAAACCATAACATTTTCAAAATATTTTGACTTCTTTTGAGCTGTATACGAACTTTTTTGTTTCAAATTTGTTTAGTTTTTTTTCTATAGGTCTTTATAGGTTTTTTCTATAAGTTGCTCAATGAAAATAAAATTTTGTTAAATGAATAATACCTTTATTGGCATCATCAGCAGTTATGAACTGCATAGCTGCATTTAATTTGTTTTACTATATTATATTTAGCTAGATAACTATTATATATAAATATAGGTAAGCATAATCTTAATTAATCAAGTATCAACCATCAGTATCAAAATAAAATTTATTTTGTGTAAAAGGTACCTACATTCTACCAACATAGACTATAGTACCAACTACTACCCATGTTTATAAAAACAATTTATTATTTTGTTTTTACTTTGAGTTTCCAGTATTTTTATTTTATTTCTATGGCCACATTATTTTACACACAAAATACTACATTTTCAAGAATTTACACATAAAATCTATTTATGATATTATATTTATTAATTTCTGTACCACTTATTTGGGTTAACGGTAATGTGTTTGGTAATTGAATAGTAATCAATGATCAAATGAGTGTCTTATTATTTATGAAAAATGAAAATTTTCAAACCTACTGTACAACAGTTTGATGTTATTATATCACCAACGATTAATACCTAAAAAGGTAAATACAAAGGGTGATATTTTTAGGCATGATGATCATTTTTTTTTATGTTTAAATCACGATTTAATCCAATTTCTGTATACAATTTCTGAGGTTTCTAAATGTACTTTCAGCCAATATATTCGAATAAATATATTTTTCACAACATCTATGGAGTTAAAATTACGTTAAAATTGAACATTGTTCCATTATAGTATGTTAAATTCATTTCCGAAATGATGTCAAACGAATTCATAGAAACATTGTGTTTAAGACTCATAACATAAAATAACGGTACCTGTACTTCTTTGGTACAAAATCCATTGCATACATATTTTTTTGTTTTTAAACAATTATTATAGCTATTAAATAGTACAATATGTTTAAGATTTGCAATATTAAATGATGGCATACCATTCTGGTACAAACTATGCGAATCGAAATAATAAAACATACTGAAAACTGTGATGATAGGTAAACTAATTTATTATATAGGTCAAAATGGTATTTTATATTACGTTGTAGAACGTAAACATTTTTTATACTTTTGAAGCCCAAATTGACAGCATATATATTTTTTTTCGTATATGAGAATACCTTTCCGTATATAATCATATCCTTATAGGTTCTCATTAAATTTATTCTCAAAAATATTATACGTTTAAATACGACGGTAAAAAGAAAAAAAATGTTTAGTATTTTGTAATGAAAATCAAAGAACAATTATTTTGAAAGTGTTTAAAATACACATGCCAAAAAGTATTTTTTATATTAAAAAATTATTTAAATACAAGTATTCGAATACTTAACAAGTCCAGCTGTATATAGCCATATGTGTAAGATATATTATACCCATATATTTATTTATAGTTTATATTATATTCACGATATTATTATATTTTATATAAACTATAAAGAATGAAATGGGTAAGTTATTTTTATAAATGTGTTATATAAAAAATTAAAAACATCCAAATATGTTTGCAGTCCGTTTCGCGGTACTTTGGCTCATGTTGTTTCCTTTAACTATTATAATATTGTATTATAAACCTGTGGGTGCAGCAATAATTTTTATTGTGTTATTATAATATTCGTAGGTAAGCTCACATTATCGGATGCACTCTGCCGCGACCCCATAGACAGGGTCAACAGTCAGTGCAATTGACTAACGTTGGATCTCGCGTATGTTACCGTAGTGTGGAATGCCTCACAATATGTTGCTGCATGCAAACTACCGTAGTTTACCCATAACCTACGCCCAATTCGTAAACGACGACGAGCGTTACAATTTAAATCATTTTTAAATAATAATATAATAGCCAGTTCCCAATCAAACTCTTTATAATTGTTTATTTTTGACTGTAGTGGGCGATATATATAAATTTATTATTTTTCAAAGCCGAGAAATGAATAATTTGACGTTATGGTTGGTGCTAATACTGCTAATCCACGTCATGTGCGTTAAACAGATGGGATGCGATCAGATATCATCTTGCTCAAGGTATTTGCAAAGACCGGAAAACGAATATCATCTAACAAAGGAACTGAATTGTCGACGAATTGTCGCATCGTTGAACGCGATGAAATTTGAATCATGCCTCCAGTTGGCAGTGACTCAAAACGCTTTTGCGTTCACGTACGCAAATTTCACTGAAGGTTTGATGACAATTATAATTATTAATAAGTTATATTTCGATTTAATTGTTAGTTATAACAAGCACGTGTTATTGAACTGTATGGTATTGGAGGATTTTATAATAGAGCACAGGCAGAAATGTTTGGAGGGCTATTGGCACAAACAAGAAAAAAATTGTTCCAAGGAATCAATTAAAAAACTAAAGTTCTTTAATAAATTAAATGCAGTGTGTTCAATGAATTTTGTTGAAGTATATGTACTAAAAATCGTTTTGGTTCCTAAATTGTGCCTTCTTGAATCGTCGTTCGAACTTTCTTATACTCTTTCCTGTTCGCGATTATTATATTTTTTATTTTCTTTTTAACAAATAGTTGTCAATTGGTACCGCATTAGATTTCTCAACGGCTTGCCAAATTCCATCACGTATGCTGAAGTTTAATGCGGTGTGTTCAATGTATTTTGTCTATGTATTTGTACTAAAAATCATTTTGGTACATAAGTTATGCCTTCTTGAATCGAAATTTGCTGTTTCCTATACTCTCTCCTGAATGCGTTTTTTATATTTTTACCATTTTTCTTATACATTTCGTGAGTTGGGTCTCGTTTATTTAATAGGGAAAATAAACTTTTTTAACTACAAAGTGTATATCTGGAAAGTACTCAACTCACCAGTGGTATTGTAAGCTGGATTTGAGACCGATAGCACTGTAACACAATCAGCTTTTGCTTTTGTGCTCTCACTATTATTTCTGATCACTGAAAGATTATCATGTGCAGCATAATTCGTGCCTACTGCATTTTTGTTGATCTGCCACCGATCTAAGGCATCGGACAAAGACATAAAATCTTCAGCGATATTAGAAAACGGTTAAGCACTATCAAATGCAAATCGTTGCACCTTGTAAAATATAAACCACCTGATTACCTTAAACTCACTTTTATTATTTCATTATTTTAATAGTGTCACCTTTATTCAATTTATATTAATAATATAAGCTTTATTTTAAATCTTTTACTTTCATTAGTAACTGTGTGTATTAAAGCCTACTAGTTCCAACTACTTGGCATTCGGGAATACATGCAGTATGGCTGGTAGGTCACAATTCAAGTACTCCCCATGAATCGTGGGTAGTTATTCCGCATTAAAAAACTAAACTCTTACACACTAGAAACTTGAAAGTACTTACTTAGAAACAGTCTCGAGAAAAATGCACCTCTTCGACTAATCTTGATCGAAAATACCATACTATAATATACTCTTAAGCTATTGTCCTATAATCAAAACTTTCTTAAACACCTGGTACCACATTAGTTCTCTCAATGACTTGCCACA